GGTAATGGTTGCAAACCAATGTAAATGTGCTTAATGCCACTGAATTGGACGCTGAAAAGTGGTCAAGATGATAAATTTTAGGTTATGTGTATTTTACAACAACAATAATAATATTAATAATAATAATAACAACAACAATAATAAAAAGGACACAGAGAGTTGAGTCCTGAGCCCTGGGGCAGCTGTGAAACAGCTGAGGGTCAGAGCCCCTCTCCCAGGCCCTGGGGGATCTCCCTGTCCCCCTTCAGAGACAGACCGCCATGTCACATGCAGGTGTCACAGGTCTGCACTTCCCAGGAGGATGGAGACACAATGGTTTACAGTCTGTTGGCAGGGGGCGCCAAGCTCCCAGGCACCTGCCCCCTCCTGTGCCTCCTAAGGCTTTGCAGGGAAACCTCCTAGAACAAGTCGGCTGCCTGACCTCAGCCCCTCCCATGCTGGCTCCCCACTGTGACACCTGCAGAGGCCCAGACGCTGCTGGTGTTTCTCCGACCCCATTTCTCTGAGCCCACGGACATGGAGATGTGGCTGGTGGACAATGTGCTGTGCTCACAAGCCCGCCCCTTAGAGGAGAGACTCCTTTAGTGTTGAGAAAACTTTGTCTTAAAACTATTTAAAAGTAAGAAAAATTACTGAATAAACATCATGATAACAGTGTGTCAGCCAGGGCTGGGTCACAAGTTTGGTATAGAGAACCGGGCACTGAGACAGGCTGGCCTAGGAAGGGGCAGACTGCAGCTGCAGGGGCGCCTGGGCAGCAGACCCCTACTGGAGGAGCTCCCTGGGGCCAGGTGCTAATAGCAGCATCAACTAGCACCACAGCCACGTGGGGGTGGGAACTGAGCATCCCCGAGTCACAGGTGAGATGACGCATGTGCAGGGGTAGCCCTCTCTGGGGTCTCAGACCCTGGGGTCTGGCAGCACAGAGGGTGCAGAGCAGCCCCTGTGGGCACCGGCAGTGGTCCCTGCTCCCTCCCCTCAGGGCTTGGGGTCTCTCCCCCTCCTCCCTCCTGTGACGCCCTCTGAGCTGGTCTCCAGGTAGCACCTGGCTGCCAGGCCACTCACAGGGGAGCAAGACCACTTGGGCTCACTCTCGAGGGCTTGGCTTACTCCATGGGGCCCAGGCCAACCCAGAAGGCGCTGGCCTTACCCAAGGGTCTCGTGCTCACCCAGCGCCCGTGTTTCCTGGAGGACCCGGCACAGGGTTACAGGAGCCCGATGAGGCCCCTCCTCAATGAGCACATCTGTACATTCTCCCATTTGGCACACTGTGGCCCAGGCAGGGGTGAGGAGGGGCCAGAGAGGACTTTCAGGGAGCTGCCAGCAGGCCCACTGGTGAAGGTAGGCTCTGACCTCGCTTTCCTGACATGGTAGCCACCTGCTCAGGGTGGTGGGGCTGCAAGGAAGAGCCCGAAAGGCGGCTGGGCATGACGGCTGCTCTGGCCCTGCTGGCTGTCTGGGTCCTCTCTGTCTCCACCTCCACCATCTCCTCCACCTCCACCATATCATACATCTCTACCTCATACATACATCTCCACCTCTATCATCTCCACCCCCATCCCCACCTCCATCATCTCCACCTCCATCTCCATCATCTCCACTGCCACCTCCATCACCTCCACCCCCACCCTCACCTCCATCACCTCCATCCCACCTCCATCACCTCCACCCCCACCCTCACCTCCATCACCTCCACCCCATGCTCCACCACCTCCACCCCCACCCTCACCTCCATCATCTCCACCTCCACCACCTCTACCTCCATCTCCATCATCTCCACTTCCATCACCTCTACCCCCAATTCCATCATCTCTACCTCCATCACCCCTTCCCCTACCCCCACCTCCATCACCTCCACCTCCATCATCTCTACCTCCATCTCCATCATCTCCACCTCCATCACCCCCACCTCCATCACCCCCACCCCCACCCCCACCTCCATCACCTCCATCCTTCCTCCATCACCTCTACCCCACGCTCCACCACCTCCACCCCCACCC